GTTCCAAGATCGGATTTGGATACCAAAGACAGGAGGAGTCAGAGATCTTCTGATGAAAGAAGCTCACAAGACCATGTACTCGATTCATCCCGGTAGCACTAAAATGTATAGGGACCTAAAACCCTATTACTGGTGGCCGACGATGAAGCTTGATGTTGCAAAGTATGTGGCTGAGTGTGTGAGTTGTGCTAGAGTCAAGACACAACATCAGAAATTGTATGGGAGTTTAGAACCTTTGCATATGCCTATGGGTAAGTGGGAAGACATTTTTATGGATTTTGTCACTAAACTACCCAGAACAAAAAGTGATCACGACATGATTTGGGTGGTCATTGATCGATTCACTAAGACTGCGCATTTCATAGCAGCCAATGAGAAATGGTCTATGGAAAAGCTTGCGAATTCTTACGTGAAGGAAATTGTGAGGCTTCACGGTGTTCTGTTGTTTGGAATATGTATTGAATGAGAATGCTATATATTTTTTAAACTATTTATAAAAATATATATTTTCATCTACTAATATGTTGGGTAGAACATGGGTAGATAGTTGATGTGTGATAAACAGATGAGAGGCCTTGATGTTGTTGATGTTGACCTACTCATCTAGCAGAGTATGGATGACGACCACTGAGTCTTTCTAGACAATCTTGTGGAATGCTAGCAGGTTCATAACCTGTAGATATATGGACAATGTGTTCACCGGTGTACTCTATCCCCCTCATGGTTGCCTTTAGGATATCTATTGCTGAGGAAACCTCTTAGCAGTAATGTCCGTCCCGGTGAAATTCCTAGATTAGGTCCCTTGTAATAAATGTTGTTTTAGGGACGTAAAGTTAGGATAATGGGAATGGATAATCGGGTTATTGTTGGTTGGTGAAATTAAATATAATTATTTATTGTGGGTAGAAAACCCTATATGCTCACCAGGCTCCCAAGCCTGACCCACTCAGTTTATTTGTATTACAGGTAATGGCGCAAGGGCATAAGATGGATGAATCATCAAGTTGTTTTGTTTACAAGTCTGTATATGTATACATTTGTTGAATGACTTGTAATGTTATCGTTTATGCTTTATGATCTGTATCGGAACATGACATCCCGAGTTTTGATTATATAATGAAAATGCATCTCTTGATGAAATGCTTTGATAAATATTATTTTATCATATTTTGTTTTTGGGAACAAATTCCGCAACTCTTTTCAATCAAAAGGATTTACTCTGAAATTATTTTAAAAATCATAAATGAAATTGGTCTTTTCTGGCGGAGATTTTGGAGATGTCACACTCAGCATCCCTATCAACACGACATTCGAATCACACAAGCAAACTGTGAGTTCATACCCCTACGCTTTTATGGTTTTTAAACGTTTTCACGGGGTATACAAGCCAAACACAAAAGGATTTTTGTGAACTAAAACAGAAATGTTTTTAAAAAGTTAAAACTTATGCAATTGAGACGATCCAATGCGTTTCATAAAACATATAGACATTTATTCTCTTTTGTATTATGCGGAGCATAAGGGATGTTTTCTAAACATAATTGCATAATTTTCAGAACAGTACATGAACATAACATATTAGTCTAACTATAAAATGTATAGTTTGGGGAATTCATTACCTGTTTTACAGAGTCAAAATACGTACACGGCTAAACATATAAACTATGATAGATTTAGTTTATCCATTTCTACATACAGATAACAAGAGTATCATACTAAATAATTATTTTGCGTATAATTATTTATACTCTACCCAGTACACAAACGATTTCAAGCACGAGAACAACGATACAAAACAACACATAAACTAGTTAATACAGGATTGTGATACATCTCTTCATTGTACCCTTCGGGGTACGGGTAAATCCTCTACTTTTAGTATAGCCAGAGTCTCTTGGAGGGAGAGCGTGAGATTTGTGAATAGATCTGTTCGGGACCGACAATCCCACACATAAATTGTTAGCTACAGTTAAACAGGTATGCCTGGGGTGACAAATTTTGTAACATACAACGTCTGAAGAAACGTTGTGGAGGTCATCAGTCATATTAGTATGGTTATACGAACTCATAATAGTATCAACTAACCTTTGTTTACGGGATTATCATTCTTCAATAGTTTTATTTTAACTAATAAGACTACCTACATACTACACCAGAGGGTATTCCAGGGATATAACATTTGGTTTTATTTTAAGTAATAAGACAACTTTATATATTGGTGGTAGCCACGGTTTTCAAACAAGAACATACATACTGGTGGTAGCTAGGGTTTTCAAACGGATTATAATATTCATACTGAAATCAACAAACATGATAGAAAATATTGGATTTTCTGGAAAAGCAAACAAACATTTATACAAATTCAATGACTAGTTTTCAATTCAAAAACATGCTTATGAACTCACCAGCTTTATGCTGATATGTTTTCAAAATCGTTTGTATTCTCATGACAACAGTAGACAGGTACTATTACAAGCTTTTGAGAAGACGGAGCTTATGGAGACACATCTTTTACTTATTATATTTTTGATGTATACAACTTTGTATAAACAGATGTAAATAACCATGTAGTATATTGTAATGGTTGTGTTACTTTGATTACTATGATGTAATTGTTGTGATACTACATATGACGTCATCCATCTCTGAACATTTTTGTCGTCTGTTTTACGATTCGGGGGTGTGACACCACTGAATAAACAGTCTTGTGGAATGCTAATAGACTCATATCTTGTACGTGTTAATGAATTATGCTTATCTAGGAAAAAGGATTGTGTTTTCATTTGTGTACTATATCCCCCTCATGGTTGCTTCTTGACTTTGTCTACCAAGGAATCCCTGAAGCAAAATAGTCTACTCATTGCATACACTGATCCATAAGGTTAGATCCCAAGGGATTATGTTTATAGGATTAGTATGTGAGAATCGATGGAATGGGTAACTAAGGATAAAGGGTATAATAACTTATAGATATTTATGTTGTATGATACATTTGTATTGTTTGGTAACAGTTAGTTTTTCAGGTTTGTTAATTATTATTCTCATAATAAGATTGTGGGATTGAAAACCTATGTTTCTCACCATGTTTCCAAATCTGACTCGCTCAAATTTATATGTATCACAGGTAGTCGTGCTAAGGATGCTATATTGATTAGGATATTAAGTGATTAAAAGAAAACCTCCAATAGTAATCAAGACTGATAGGTCTTTACGTTGTAACTCGTGTTGTGTATCGATTATGACGTCCTTAAGGTTTTATTATTTTGAAACAATATTTGTACTCAAAATTTCCACAAACAAAGATAACATGGTTTTGAAAGTATAAATAAAAGTTTTTTTATTCTGGAAATTAGGGATGTCACGCTTTGTTCGAAATACACTCCTTTTTTACATTGTCCCTATTAATTGCATTTGGAATATGCTTATTCATGAGTATATGGTGTATGGTTGAAATACACTCATTGATACTCAAGTCTTAACCATCAAACTTGTGAGATAGACTCCTGAGAGAAACTTGAGTTCAAGAATAGTTGCATATTGCATACCATTGAAGCTTTTGTTTGTTTATCCCGTTTAATGCCAAGTTGAGTAATGATATTGATTTATTAACAAATTTTAGTTTGAAATTTTTTGATTAGCTTGGGTCGTAGACCCTTGAGTTAATCTGAGTCATTAAACCCCAATTTATTTTATTTGGTTTGCTAAACTTGATTTGGGCTATTAAATCCCAACTTATTTAAAAGATTTGGTATAACTTGTTTTTGGAAATATTAAAACCATATACATTGGAATTTGTTTTAATAATATTCGGGTTATGAAGCCCCTAAAATGTTTGGAAGTGTTTCTATTTTGAAAGAAAGGGTTTTTTTTTTTTAACTTTGGATCCTTTTTAGGCCTAATATGTTGAAATCGTGTTTGGTGAGAATTTGGTAATAATACATCTACATGTTTGAAAATGATTTTAAAACAAAATAATTTTTTTCCGAAGTCGAATCGAGTAAGCGAGATTGCTATCTCCTTACTCAAAATGAATCCACATTGGGTATTCTCACTAGGCAAATCAATTGTCTAACCTATTTTGACATATGCTCAAGTTAATGATAGTGTCGTGATCTACAAGACTTAGCGTGGATTTTGGAAAACCCCAACTTGTGTGGTGAGATTGAACAAATGTTGTTGATACTTTAATTGTTAAAAACCTAGCTTCTTCAACTTTAAAAATTTTATGTTTTGGGATTAGTTTTAGATTTTCGTGAACTTAACTTTGAATTAAATTTGGATTTTTAAAACTGCATTATCTTCAAAAAGATTTTTAATTCTAGGGATAGGTGTTACGGTTAATCTTATTTCTTATATATTTTGATTGTGAATTCAACAAGTCAACATCACAAAAAGAAAAACTAATGATTGTCCTCTTTATTCACCAATAGGCTAAATGCTTGAATATATGTTTGGATACATATATGGTAATCAAGTTTCGATGTCTTGTCACATACCTAACAACATCATCGATCCAACAACCATAACCACAAACTTACCATTCGATCACTTTCATTTGCCATGGATGGTATGGCATCAATCCATCAAATGACACATGTATAATTACCCATCATAAATTGTACTTAAGGATACAATGTGTTTTGGCACACACTTACGACCACCCATTTTTCTAAAACTAGCTTGAAGCTCTTAAAGAATGCATAAAAACTCATATTCTCCTCCACGTTGAAACTTTTAAAGAACAGAGAATTCTAATGCAAAACGAAAATTGTCTTTATGAATCCCACTTTGGCCCATACAAAGACGACTCCTCACATTAAGATTTCCTCTAGAAGTTTTAAAAAAATTTGGACCATAATTCATCATGCCTAAAATCGTTTAATTATATTTTATTATGAGAGCAGTTTATGCCACATGTATTATTTGTGTGGAAAATATATTATTTTATTTTTAGAAAGTATGGTTACTTAAAAAG